CTTCACCGCAACTGTCCTCCTACTCTATTAAACTGAACAGTTCTATTGTGAACAAAGTAGTATTTATAATATAACTTTTTAATAACTATTCTTAAAACTAAAAATAAAATAGCAATAATTAATCTTTATTTAAATGATAATTTAATGTGCTAAGAGCCCAAAATGAAACTGGTCATTAACTCAATAGTAAAGACTGCCAGAAGATTCATTACTGATTAATAATGGGGAACACAGCGTACTGAACAGTTTCCTTTAATCCCAGCAGCAACTAGAAACTGAACTTTCAATCATAATAAACTGCTGAAGCAATAATTTTCTTTACGGAAGTTATAATTAACAGCTACAGTGTACCTAAGTTTTCATTTTAATCTATACTGATCAAGTCTCTCTTTTAAAAACATCTGGACATGTGTATCATGAAGATTTTTGTTCTAAAAATCAGCTTAAAAATCCTATAACATACTCTTTCCTCAAGTGACTGTGTATGCTGAAAAAATTAACTCAATCATTTCTAATAAATGTAATATTTACATGACAAAATTGTTGCATTAGTAACTTTTTTGTTAGTAAAGACTACTAAAAGCATTTAGTGCAAATGGACTTAAGAAAATTTGCCAGTTAATCACACAGGATATCAATTATTTTATTTTGCTGCTTTAGTTTGTAAGATATTTAAATATGAACACACTTAGGATCCAAAGAAAGCTGAAAATTGTTGATTTGCTCCTAAGCTGTTTGCATGGACATATATATATGCAACAGTAACTACTAATGAATGTTTATATGTAACTACCTAAACAGGAAGAGATACAAAAAGTAAATATATTTACAGTGGAAGGGTTCTACATGCTCTTTGAATGGTTGAAAAAAAAGTAATTTATCAACAGAATAAAACAGTAAGGGGAACTATCCTACATTAAATCAATTCCCTCCATGTAAGCTTAAAGAACAGCCCCCTGAAAATGCAAATGGCAATTCAGTATGATTGCGAATTTGACTTCAAATCATTAATTCATTTAATGCTCTCATCAACTCCCTCGTATTTATGTCACTTATTAGGCCACTGGACTGACTGAAACTCACTGAATAAAATCTCCTAAACAAGAGTAGTAACAAACATTCTGCAATTAGTTAACGGCTCTGTATCAAGAACTCCATTCAGAGCAGTAATGTACAGAATGCTTTAATATCTATGAGCAGTCATACATTGCTGAGAAAGAAAAATTCCAGGCTCATTTCTTCTAATTTACCTGCTATCAGACCCAGGATTCAAAAACTTCACAAATGAATACTTCACATTCCTTTCATATAATGAAGTACAGAGATCAAACATCTGACACTATCACTGCTATTACCCAGGAAGAAGGAGATAAGGTAATTTCAGTTAATATAATCACTTCATCTATGTCTCAGAAACATTATAAATATTAATATATATAAATATTAATGAAATATGAGAAAAAAAAGGGAATAATGGTCTTAGAAAAGATGTTAGTATTTCAAAGATCATTTTCCAGACTTGCCATCTACAAACTTCATCTAAGATGCTGTTCAATTATCTTCCTGTATGGCTCAGGAAAATCAGACTTGTTTGCCTTTGGACAAGGATACGTTAATAAGGATTTTCTATCCCTCTCTGTCTGTGCAGTTCTGTATATGTACATAAACTGAGACAGGGATTTTTGACTACTAACATGGCAGTTTATATGTCTCGTATGAATATTTCAAAGACCTGGTAACATTCCTATTTGCCCTACTGAAAGTGCACTGAAATGTACTGCCGTATAATAATGGCTCACTTTGAGCAATAAATCTACACTGGCAGAGCAGTGTACAGTGGTTTTGTACATTCCTTAATGCACCATTTTGGCAAGAAATGCCTAACCTTAATAGAATACCTTAATACTCAGGATGGTTGCAAATGAACACAAGTGGGTAATTTTTATTACAAGAGAGAGCAACATATCACACAGTGAGCAAAAGGCCTTCGTTACTCCAAATTGACTAGGAACAGATTTAAAAGATATAAATCTAAATGGAAAGGTTACAAAAAAACCAGTATTAACTATCTTTCAGAACAAAGTTTCATTCAAAGGTCTTTTAACTGATGCAATTATTAGCAATCACATGTTAAAGATCTGAAAAACTACCGAAGGAAGAATTAAAGAAACTCATGTCAACAGTTTCTAAAGAGCACTGCATATTCTGCACTTACAGAATATGTAAGTTCCTTTTAGCAACACCAATTCCTAAGGAAAAATATTCCTGCCCATGTTTTTGTAGAAGATAGCTAATAAGTTGGAAGCCCATCACTGCATAACATCTCCTGCTGTCAAGCAGCTAAGTCTCTGCAGAATCTTGAAAACCACCAGATAGGAGTCTCAAAAAAAAAAAAAAAAAAAAAAGCTAATTTCTCTCTTAATTGTATGCCACTTCCAGCTGCAACTAGTAATATAAACCATAAAAAACCTGTTTTGTAATTGTTCCATAAAAAAAACTGAGACAAATTTCACAATTACCATCAGAACTCAACTGAGCAACAGTGTGCAAATCTGCATCTTACTGAAGAAAATCTTTCTGTAGTTCCAAAAATAAATGCTATGCTTTATACAGAACAGCCATGTAGAAATAGCTCCTTTAAACATGTTTACACAATCTGCACATAATGCATGTACAAATAAGTAAGGCTTGTTTTCCCTAGGTAGTAACAGAAAGCGATTTTGAACATCCAAAGTGTCTTTTCTGTGATTAATATAACATTTAGGATGAAAATACAGTGATACGATATTAGAAAGCCCAATATTTATCTTCTCAAATTAAAAATACGTCCAACATTTATCAAGCATCACATCATAAATAAAGTATGAATGGGAAGCAAAGCAGAAAACATTGCTGTGCTCTTGAATACTGTGTACAGTTCCCTAACTTAAAAAAAAAGCAGTAGCAGAAGTACAGAAAGATACAGAGAATAACAACGTCACTGACTGAAGGTACTGAACAGCCTGGATGTAGGGTGCACTAAATGGATTAAATTACTTTGGCTTGGAAGATGCAAAACTGGGGTAATGCAAAAGAGGATAAAATTAGGAACAGAGAACAACTGTCTCCCATTTCTCACAACATAAGGCCTAGGTTACTCCAAAGTGACTAGGGATAGGTTAAAAAGATAGAAAATAATACTTGCTATATACTCCATGAGTCATGGTAATAGTGTAACTTTGTACATTGAGAATATAGGGGAAAATCCCTCAGATAAATTCCATGAGGAAGGTCCAAACACAGCCATGCAGATACAGCTACCAGATGAGAAGTGCCTTTCCACACTGCAAACTGACAGGAAGCGGATGGCACACGGGGCTCGCTCCTAACGCTGAGTTTAAAAAAACAAACCAAAACACTCCTTAGGCCTTCATGGTTAACAGTATCTCAGCAATAGTACTGGGACGATGGGAAGCAGATGGAGATTGATGGAAGCCCTCCATGGAAATTACAAAAATCATATACATTTCAAAGCAGGAGTAATCTTCAGCAGATTATCCAGAAGCATGGCCTACAGAGTTGTGGTTTATCAAAACAGATTCCTGATATGTTTTATTCTGGAGATGATAAGGCAATTATAGGTTGTCTTGGTGAGCAAGTTTTGATACACATGGTGTGTCAGAGTAGTCAAACACCGGAACAGGCTGCCCAGGGAAGTGGTGGAATCACTGTCCCTGTCAGTGTTCAAGGAATGTATAGATGAGGCACTCAGGGACATGGTTTAGCAGGCAGGGTGGTGATGGGTTTGCAGTTGGGCTTGAAGGTCTTTTCCAACCATAATGATTCTGTGATTCTATAAACATTTAAACAAATGCTGGAAGGTTATAACCAAAGTTATGCAAGTTTATTTAACTTTAAGGGTTCCAACATAAAACCTAAGAAGTTTCAAGTTGCATAATAACCAAACTGAGTAATATTTGTGTAGGGACTGTGCATGGGGAGAGGTTGAGGGAGGAAGGAGGGAAGGAAGAGGGGAGGTGGCAAAGCTCTTCTTTTAAAGCAATTTAAATACAGTATTTGGGTTGTAAATTACAAAAAAATAAATATTTGTCAAGTATTGCTGGGAATGCTGTTCTTCAGTAACATAGTTAGAGATGGCAAAAGAACAAATTTAAGTTTTAGAAATTACGTTTTCATTTTGATGTAAAAAGAAAACAAGGCATTTAGAATTCAGAGGCACAAACGTGCACACAATGCAGGGCACACCGCTGCCAAGAGCACAGAATACACAGTGATTACAGGTATCATCTGGGACAAGCAGACATTTTTGCATTCTAAAACAAATACCACGTTTCCACAATCCAGTGTAATGATTGACATGCTAATGGCTCTCTTTCTTTGCCTGAGAAAAATCCCAATGAAACTGTCATGAAAATCAGTCCATATATTCTTTTAAAGCATTTTTTGTTTGCAAGGGACATGACAATAGCTAATTAGCAACTGGCAATTAGAAATGTGAAAGCATTATAGCTCAACTTAAAAAAAAAGAAACAGTAAGTCACAAAAGACATTTTTCTTTCGGCAACTGCATGAATCTTTCAAAATAAATCTAATAATACTGGGAATACAATCTGTGCTTTTACTGCAATGTCTCCCTTGTCAAGGATTTCTTGAAGAATTACAGAGTTCCAGAAGTGGTTTTGTTTTGAAATGACAAGGTAATCAAAAACAAAACAAAACCAACAACAAAAAAACAAATCTACGTTTTCCTTTTGGTAATTAAACTAGATTCAAAATTAATCAAAAGATGAAAATAGGAAACACTACACATGTCTTTGTCAAGTTAAAATGAAGGTAAAAACAAATCCAGGATACGATAAACATCACAAAAATAACTATATTACCAGCCACTTTTCCTGAAATTGTGTTGATATACTTGAAGTTCTTCTAAACCAAAACTTAAACCAAATGAAAATGAAATAAATTAAGTGGCCCCTTCCCCCTCAGCTCGTTAATCATACCTTAATTTGTGCAAAAGGTCTGTCAAAGTTTCCAACATAAAGAAGACCAACATTCTGGGTGAGTAGCCTAGAAAAATGAAAAGAATCTTTTAAGATATCACTTCACATTCACATAAGCTCTCTGCATCTCCAGTAGCTGCTGTTGGACTCCACCAGGGTAACCAGTTTCATTACGCTACAGTGAAAGCTACCTTTGTAAATACAGCTACAAATTCTGCTCTTCCTAGTGCAAAAAGAAAGACATGCATTAAAGATAGACGTGCCACGGTCATCTGTGTTTATAGTGCAAGCAGCTCTTCAATAAAACCACCTCATGGTTCCTTTGTGATTGACACCACTCAACATGCAAGAATGACAAGGTATTCTGTTTATCTGCCTATTCTGCTTATCAGACACCATTAGGGACAATGGAGCAGCAAGAGATAAGCACAAGCGTAAACACATTCAGAGCAGCAGAGTTAAACCAGATTAGGACAAACAAGTATGCATAGTAACATGAAAGTAACAGCAGCGCAAGAAGAGAAATAACAGAGAATTTCTGCTATATTTTCTAAATGGCTTTCTAGCTAGAGAGGGCACCAGACATAGTTTGTGTGGGTTATTCTCAAAGTCATTATGTACCCTAGCAAAATACAGAAAGACAGTGGGACACGTGGATACAAAGGAGTGGGGGTACTTTTGAACAAAGATTAGCTTGCTTTCTGCAAATATTGTGCAAAAAGTCAATTCTACTGCAGCGTAAAACTTGAACATCCGGAAAGCATTAGGGTGTAATTCTTGAGAAAATGAAGACAACACTGGAGACAAGGGACCAACTAAGAGTGCATCAGAACACCCTGAAGTCAGTTGGTAGCATCACTGTGCTGCTATTGCTAAGCAGAGGTAGAACTGTCATTTCCTCTTGCTTACACATCTCTCAAAATCTTGTGATGAAGGGCAGAAACCCCATAAGGAGAATGGATTGGTGACAGACAACTGATAATTTGTGCTTTGATTAAAAGAGATGCTCAAAACCCACTGTAATCTTCAACAGTTCCAAGTCTGCTTTAAGCTAACAAGGCACCCCATATAGACTACAATTTCCCCAACTTGGAATACCCAGGAAAAAAAGTAGCAATGCAGGGATAATTCTGCTCAAGTCTAACAGTTTAACTGAGATATCTCTTTTCAGTAAGACATTTATATGTGCATGCACATACATCATAAATACATATTTTAAATTCACAGGGAGCTGCAAGCTTTTCCTATGTATGAATCTGTCCTTTTGAAACAAACTTCCCTGAATCTCCAGGCCTTTTTTTTTTTCCCAAAACAAAACAAACCAGAAACTCACGATGGCAATAAATCCTTTCTGGTCCTTCATTCCGTCCAAGGAACATATGCTCCTATGGTTTGAGTCTTTTCAGTTCTCAGAACATACATGATACACAAAACCTTATGCCTGCTCTGTAACAAGTCCTACTGGTCCAACTCGGCAAAATGGCAAAGTCAAAGCAGTCGAGTATATAAAACACTTAAGTAAGCAGTGGTGTCAAACTGTGTATCATCTTCAAAATCCTTTTATAATTAGATACTGTATTCAAAAATATCCACAGAATTGACAGGAATATCCGGAAGAAAAAAAGATTAGTAAAGATTGGAGAAAGTCAGTCACAGCATGTGCAGGCAGGTAGCTGCCTCCATATGTTTTCTATCAATGTTCCAGGCTCAGCCAGGGAGACTTCACAATGGCTCTGCACTGACATGTGGAAGTGAGGATAAGCTTGTCAAACTCATTTTCAGTCATGATAAATCAAATTCATTCAGAATGCAAGACTCTAGAGATGAAAAAGCCAGTATATTGACCAAACCTATTTTTTCCAGGAGCATAAAGCAAATTCAGAAAATATTTAAGCCTTTTCTAAATGAAAAGGCATGTGAGATAGGTAGTAATAACAGGTTAAAAGAGCATTGAAAGGTGCATCAGTAAATAAAGGATTGAAGGTATGTCAGTAAATGTGAAAGAGGAATATCTTAATGCAACAAAATGTTTTCAAAAACAACAGGAAGTAATTCTTACAAGGCAGAGAAAGAAAAAAAAATCTACCAGCTGCATTTCTATCAAGGGACATAAAGAAGATTATTCAGTGTGATTATTCTCTCATGATCATGTTGTTTTCTTTACAGGATAGAACATAAAAATAATAGAACACAGGATCATTGCAAATTTGAGTCTTCAGGATGGCTTCATTTAGAAGTAATGAACACCTAGTGAAGCCCAGGATTGATCGCTGCAAGAGACTTCACCACAGTATTATTTTATTCACTATTACTGGTGTACATGAAATATCTGGAAACATACTGCAAGGCTTGCTTCCCTAAATAGACTTACATGGACAGAGACACAGAATTACAAGCTTACTACTATTTATTCACATCTCACTATCTCAGCTGAAAAAAATTTCACTATTTTTCCCCTCTGGATCCACATATCGCTTCGCAATTCAATACAGATTTTAGCAAAATGCTTAGGGAACTGAAAGATGCCTGCAGTTCTCTTTTGCATTCTCTTAAATAAAACGTGGTATTGTTCCTTCAGTTTTCAAGTGTCGCTCTTGAGTTCTGAAGTTGAAAATTTACATTACTTACATGCAAAGCTGCTCAGTTTTCCATATAACCACTCAATGGGGTTGAAACGATCATCCAGATATTATCATAATTTAGTCTGCAGAAATACTTTTTTTCTTCTTTCCTTAAATGGTCTTACCAGTATAAAATCGTTTACTTTAGGGTACTTATTATCAGCACAATTCCCACTTTGCAGGCATTGGCCTAGCATAAAAGAGCCAGGAGAGATGAGAAGAGTGGCATAGGAGACACTGTTGTGGTTCCTGACTGGCCAATCTGCAGCAAGATACTGCCCTCAGTAACTACCAGCGGTGAGCTTCAAAAGCCCTGTGCGCCTCAAAGAGGGGGATGAGACAGAGCAGAATGTGTCAATCCCCACGTCACTCCTAGAAACTGAGCTCACTTAATCCCTAACCTGCTGAAAAAAAAAGTCTCATTAAGTAAGATGTACGATTCACTCCTCACCTGTGAGAAATTATACACAGCCTCTCTTTTTCTTCTTCTTTATGGCAATATTAGAGTGTATCTTTACACCATATGTAACTTTATACCATATAGCTCAATAAGTTTAAATTGATATGGAAGTTCTCTCCTAATGCTCTCATTACCATTTTAGAGTAACAAAATAAACATTCGCCGTTAAAGACTTTTCACCTGTATGATTATAAACACTTAGATGCTTCCTTTTGCCAACTTTAAAATTGCACTCTACTATTTCTTTACTTACTTCACATTTGCATAGTTCTATTCTCAAAACACTACCAACACCTAACCATGCTAACAGCAGGGCATCACCATGCTGATCTTTTCTGTATTTGACCAAAATCTGTATCAAATTAAAAACACAGTGGCAATAGTACATGTTCTATCATTACATTTAAATCTGCATTCAAAAATTACTCCTTAAAAATTACATAATGCAATCATCAAAAAACCAGACTGGCAGGTCAACACAGGTTTTTACTTTTATTTGAAAATCTGTAACAGTACACACAAACATTGCCTCAACTAATCAGTTTATAGGCTGCAGTGTGTTTTATTTGTACTCTATTCTACTCAATATATTACCAACACAATTCTTGTGTTTTCTGTGAGTAACAATAAAACAAAACAAAGAAAACAAGACTAGAAGCAGAGGCTCCTTAAGATGTGTTACCCATACAGAACATTTCACTGTTGGCTCTCACATACTCCTGTGAAATTTCTGGCCAGCTGGGCATTATCAGGGCTACTTCCCTGATACACTCCCTACAAACAGCATAAAAATGCAGAAGCACCAAGTGCTTCTGACTTTTTCCAACACAATGTCAACATCATAAATGCCCTCCCCCAAGCACCAAAAAACGCTACCTGGTTGCAACCCAAACTCCTCCTTTCTGCCTTGGTCTCTTTTGCACTACAAAATACACCTGCCAGTTCAAAATCCTACCAGCAGGAGCCAGATACTACATGTCCATGAGGGAAGCTAGTGAGGGGACAGGCATGGTCAGGCAAGGTAATAGCTAGAAAGCGGTGGCAGTACTGGCTATGAATATCAAAATTCTGGAAATGAATTTTATGTATGGGGGAAAGTGAAGAAATTTCTAACCAAATGGATTTTAGAAGTTAAGGGAGCAATGATACAGCCTGCATTGGAAATCATGGGATGGGAAGGTTTGGTACTTGTGCAGCAGGGCCTGATTCACCACAAAGCTCCCCCTTCCCAAACCAGCTAACTATGAGCTGGGACAGCTGCCCTCATCCTAACACCACCTTTGGCCATCAGACCTATCCTTAACTAGGGACTTCATAAGCACAATGCATTTCAAAGCAGCTTGGTAACCTTCTCTTTCCATACATATTTATTTCTGGTAATAACTTAGTAATACTTTAAATGAAGATGGACATTTCAAGATATCTTCAACAAAAAGGCAAGACCTCACTGACACAAAATACTTCAGGTAAAAGCAGTCCTTCATTAAAGTATGTAAAGCAGGCATCAAACAACTCCTCCACGTCCTGTCAACAGGTGGGTTTCACGGACACTCCTTGAGCTCGAGCAGAACCTAAACATCTACCCCTTCGGATCCAACACGTCATCTTGCTGATAGGGCTGGTTCGAACCACAAGTTTGAAAGCACAATTTGAGACTGGTTCACACACAGTTTGTGTACTCACTACCAGACTTCCTCTGAACTATCTGCATCTGCTGTGCAGGCGATGAAAGTGGTTTTCCAGAGAGGAGCATGCAGAGAAATGCAGGGAGCGGGGATGGAGCTAGGATCCGCTGCCTCTCACAGGAGCAAGTTACTGCAGCCTAGCGAACGCGGTAACTTGCTCCTGTGCGAGACAGCAGCTCCTCCGCTTGCTCTGGGCGAGGTCTGTGGCGCAGTGTGCAGGAACGCAGCCAGGCCTGCGACGCGTGGCTCTAGACAGCAGCACAGAGGGCAAACAGCCTTGGAAAAGCAGGAGCACGCTGCG